CTTCTTCCATTTCCCTGCCGCACTTTATTGAGCTCATCCCTGATGTCTAAGCTCATCTTGATGTAGTACATCTTCACCACCCTTCAACCTGTAAAACCATAGGTACGTCTATATCGGACAGCATCGTGAAATTCCGCAGCTCAGCTCTCTAAACATCGAACTATCAAGGTTGAGAAGTCAGACACAAAGAACTGGAGGATATCTCAAGTGACTGTCAAAAGTCCACCTCCCTGCACTGAGGCAGGATTTAAGATATCTAGACCAATAGACTACCCTACTCCTTAAAGGCTGCTGAGGAAAGAGATTCCTCAGCATCTCGAGGTTATCCAGTCCAAGTTTTTAGCACCATATGCAGTGTTTCACACTTAGCAAGGTATTTAGAAGAACTGGAGACCTAAATCCCCACTTCAGAACACAGCAGTTTGGCTGCCAGAATTCTTCATGCCCCAGTGCATGTGTCAGGGGAGTGACTGCCTCAAAGCACTAACTCAGTTTTCCCCGTGCAGCCCAACCCAGCCCAGCCAGCTTCAACCACTCTCCCTATAAAAAACAAGCCTCTTGCAGAGGCTGAGCCTCTGTCACCTCATCCTACTGAAAAAACACATACTGAGCCAAAAAGAATGCCAGCGCAAGGCCCAGCCTCACATGCCCAGGCCGTAGACCCTGGCAATGGCAAGGCTTGTTTGCCCTGTAGGAGAGGCATGAAGCAATCTCTAATTTTACGCATTTTCATCCCAAAAAGCAGACTCCACAGTTAAATTTCTTAATCCATACAGCTGTGGTACACAAGACTTTCTGCTCGGGGCAACACAACTGTGACAAAACAGGGCTTGTATGACAATTTAGAGTTGAAAACTGAAAGTAATCAAGAAAGATTTGAGACTTTGAAGTTACAAAAAAAAAAAAAAAGAGCGCAATTGATAGTCCAACCCAACCTACCCCAATCACTGGGAATACAGTATTGGCTCTGTTATGTAGTAAGAATTTGCCCAAGTTCTCTTAAATACTGCTGCTGAAATCACTCACGCTTAATACTGTTGTTCCAATGGCTATTTTGTCAGCACAATCATTCCCCATCATGAAGAAGATGCAATCACCACATTATTTGCAGCAGAGTCAGTTGACAATGCTTATTTTCTTCATAAGTTATTTCTCATAACTTAGTAACACTTTAAGCTACTATAAACACCTTCTTGAAAGCGTACCACAATTTTAATCAGTTTCAAACATCAGATGTTGGGTTTGATATTTATGATTGTTCTGACTCTGTTTCGTTTAACGGCTCCTTTTGTCTATGAAAGCAAAGATAAGAAAGTTATCTAGGACACCCAAGGTAAAGTTCCTAATTTAAGAGGAAATGTCCTCTGTCACTGACTGTCGGATACTAATAGCTGCTGTGACAATTTTCCATGTGGTACTGGGCAAGTGGCCTTAGAGAGGTAGGACTGCTTCATCCTATACAAAGCAGTCATTGAGTCAACTAACCAAACTGTGCCGCTACACTTTCTAAAGGGGACATTCTTGTAAGTTCATTTTAACCTACAGGGGAAAAAAAAAAAGTACTATGTATCTCAAACTACTATAATATGAACTCAGCATAGGACTATGAAGAGGTGACTGGGAATTATTTCTTTTTAGAACCTCTTTTATAAGGTTTCCTCATCAGCTTTTAATTAGCAAGCCAGTTCCTATTCTGAGGTTCCTGATCATTTACAGCCCAATTCAACATTCACCAAAGGCAATGAGACAGAGTGCCTTGAACTCGGTGGGGTCTAGAGGAGGGCTTCGGGCCATGCAGGGAACCCTCTAGCACCAACACGAAGTTAATTGAGCAGGCCTTTGATGCCCAGCTCTGGGTGTCAGCCCTTGGAAGAGTTTTCCTATGGAAGATCAGAAGAAAATCTGGACTTCCAGATTTGTGGCTATGTAAATGTTTTATCTGCACTCGGCAGGTATAGCACTAATTTGTCGTTTGCGGTAGAGGAAAGTGAGATGATCTCTCAACCTATTCAGTTTGACTATTTACATGTATTTTAAATTTTTGCTTACATAAAATTACAATAAAAGTATTCTAGAACAGAGCATCTGCCAACATACATACAGTATTCTGCTAAAGGCAGATACATACCGTAAGGTATATGTAAGATCATTACTTAGTTATGACAGGCGATTTACTGTGATTTATCTTTCAGGATCATCTCATTCACAAGGAAAATTGAGCGTCAGCCCGATCCATAACCCATACATACCGTCTAGATACTTGAAAATGATAATAGGTTAAAAGATGCAGTAGACAACTCTCCAACACCAGCCAAAATATTTAACCTGAAACCTTTTGGAACAGAACCTGAAAACATCAGTAGCCCAGCCAGAAAACTCCCACTAACACAGATTGCCAGAGGCTAATGAACATAGAAAACTCTTTACCTAGCACATAATTTTACTGTTGCTGGGAGAGCATCGCTCAGTCATTTCGGTACAGATCCAAGAAATTTGCTTCTTATGGTTTTGACTCTGTTTGAGCCAAACACAAATTAAGACTAAATTAAGAGCTGTGGTTCAAAACGATTCAATGGAACGCAAGAACAAAGGTCAAAACTTAGATCACTACCCTGCAGGTGCATATCCTGAGCGCAGAGCTAAACAGGGCCATCCACCTTCTGGGGATGACTGGCAACAGAACCAGGAGTGATCCCATTTGGGGTCTTATCCATGTACCACCTCCTCCATCAGCAAACCCTGCGCAGCCAGAACGACGTGCCCTGAGCGCCGCTGTAGCAGCAGGACAACAGTAGTAGATCATTCCTCAGGGACTCTACTAGAAGTAAAACCACACTGAAATACAATGCAGCCACTTCTTCCACTTACAATGATGGATCAATCCATTGGGAGCTACCAAATTCATACAAAATATTTCTAACAGCTCATCCTCCTTACTGTCCCACCTCCACCTCTCCTATTTTATTTATTTATTTAATAAAAAGAGGTCACAGGCCCCTGGGTTACTGAACCTTTAAAAGGATTTCCTGTACCTGGCAAAACAGTTGGAAAACTCTAAAACACAGCCTGGCAATTTAGTCTACACATGCCAGATTCAAAATTTGTCCAAAAACCTTAAATGAACTAACATAAGAGCTGCCACAAAAGCCAACAACCTCTAATCAATACTTTCCATCTTTAAGACAGAACAAACTACCTCTCTGCAAAACATTCTTATGCCTGCAAAGAGTAAATACATTCCAACAAATTTAAGAAGTTTGAGTTCTGCTTGGCTCAGGAAACCCATGCAGAGCCCCTAATTTTTCAACAGCAGCACATGTTTAACACAGAGCAGCAGTGATGAAAGCAACTGAGACACCTGTGAGACCAAAAAACACATCTAAAAAAATAAGATATTCACCAAGGCTGCAGATACATGTGTGTTGCAAGAACTAACAAAGCTTAAAAATCGTTGAAAATGTTAACACAGTGAGCACGAAAATATTGAATGTGTTAAAGTATTTTTGCATGACTTCATCCTAGATCTTTTTATTCCCTAATTTGACTCTGGTTTTTAGTCCAGATTATAAAGAAGATTTAAAACAGGGAGTTTTTTTTCCCTTCTGATGAAAGCTTCCCATTAATAAAAAGGAAACAAAGAAAATGAAGAAAGTGAATAGTAAAACTTTTACAACATAATAAAATATACCAGAATCCCAGCGCAGCAGGATTAGAATTGTCTAAAGATGTTGAATTATGTTCAGTTGTCATATAAAGTTCAGTCCGGAGTATTAACAATCATATTCTCTAGCAACATGTATATAATTGTGAGATCTTCACAATAACCCTCAGTTTTAAAGGCTCATAAAAATGGTGTTTTACTCATAATTTGCAGGAGGAAATAAGAATTCTTAAAGGAAAGTAGTACCTTTTTCTCAGTAAGAAAGACTCTGAAGGCAACACACTGTGTATTTTAAAGCAAGCAACCCTAAAAGCTCTCTTTTTCTTTCAGAGTTTTTGGTGAGGTATTATACAAACACTCAGTTTAAAAAGATAAATATGTATCTATACTACACGCACTAGAACAAAAATTACTATCACATACAGAGGAACCCTCTGAAAGTATACTGGAAGGAAAGCATGTTACATTATTTCTGAACACAAGTACAGAGGTATTTTAAGGTAAATATCTGGATGTAACATTGAAACCAACAGTAAAACAAGCTATGGCACTCACACAAAAAAGAAAGGATGTTGTTTTTATGAAATGTGTGTAAACTACATTTATCCACTTCCAAAATATAGCATGAAAATAATGACGAAAATATTATCAGCATTTGACACTCTTTGTAGACTCCCAAATCTCTATGTTCTCTCAATTTCTCCCTTGACATTCTAAAATAAAATCCTTTCAGCGTGTTAGACTCGCAACTACCGAGTGCCACAAACTTCCAATTATCCCAGCCGCTTTGGGACTTGCCAAGGCAAAGCTGAGGTAATGAACAGGATGCTAAAGTTTCTATGTGGAATAGTAAAATACAACTTATCATTAAACCCAGATATTTTAACTTTATACTTTTGCCAGAATAAAGCCTTTTTGTAAATAAAATGTGTTTGTTTTCAAATAAAACTACTTCAAGCTGTTTTGGGAAGCACAGTAAGTAAGTAATAATAATAATAATAACAGCAACAATTTCCATTTGGATTTCAAAACCTGATGAAACAAAACCAGCACATGTCAAGCCTAGTGTTTTCCTACCTGGAACAGGTAAGGACCAGCTCTCAAATGCCACCTTGGGATAGTTCAGACTAGTAATCCCATTCATGTTTAGATGAGACACCAGCATGAACAAGAAAGAAAAGAAAAAAGAAAAAAAAAACCCACAAAACTCTACCCTGTCCTTCTTTTATTAGCAACGCTTACAGGAGTGGTTAAGACCCAGTAAGCAAGCTGAGGACCCGGAGAAGCAGACTAACCCAAACGTGCTGCTAGAGAGAAGCAGGTTTAAGAAGAGACTTACTGCTCGCCATGTGACCGGGGGAGGTGTGCTGCCCGTTGGGCGTGCTGGAGGTGAGGTCAATGGCCATGCCGGAGTGCTCCCTTTCGGGTGAAAGCTCATTGTCACCTGCTTTCACAAAACAAGCACCCCGTTAAGTTTCCATCCCCTTCTTCAGCCCAGCAACCCAATAATTAACTACAACCCACTGGCCCCCTTTGCCCCTGCCCTTCCCTCCCTTACCAGCCAGGTCTCCCACAGCCTGTAGAAATGGAACTCTCAGTAAAGGTTTGACCAACTGATTTTAACAGCCCCCTCAAACCTGCTGTCACCTGTGTTCTACACACACACACCTGTGACAAACCTTGCCCCAGCTGCTTGGTCTCAAGAGAAGTTACGATTACTTTTCCATTTGCAGACACAGAAAATCAGGGCTGGGCAGGTGAAGACTGAAACAGTACTTCACCATAGGGACCTTTCCCCCAAAGCTCTCAGTTAACTGACAAACAAAGCACTTAAACTAAGACATTTTGCCCTGACACAGAAAATAGGAGAAATGCATAGAGAAAGGCATAAAAAGTTTTGGGCTGCAATTTGAATTTCTGAAGATGAACTCTCTCTCGTTCACAAAGTTCATTCATCCTCAGTAAATATTTAAACATAGAGCTACTCACCCATGCGCCCATCCCCATGCATTTTGCAGCCATACACAAACTTTAAGTTTAAATGCTATTAATTCAGCATCATCGCAAAGCAAAGACCACACAGAAGGAAGCCAAAGTTTCAGGCGTCTGCATCATAGAAAGGATAGCGGGGAAAGGAAAGCAATTCAGAATAATCAAATGAAATGACTACTTACATGTTATATATCCATCAGCAGCCTCTGCTTCCATAGTCAAAGTGCAGTGCTGCAAGGCAGAAAAGTACACCCTCAAAGACGCCTGTCAGTATCAACCATTAAATGATTAAACTTACTTAAAGCCCTGAGTAGTTGCCCATTTTACTGCTGTTGCAACCACTGCCTAAGAGAAATGAGCACAAGTGTACTGCATGGGCTCGTTAGCAAAGCACTGAACTCTTCCTGCTAATCATCCAAGTAGAGAAATTCAGCTGCCTCCTGGGCAGGCAGTACTGGGATCATCTTGGTCTGGCTGCACCCCTCTCTATCCCCCTCTCACATTTTTACCTAATCTGAGAGTTTTTCCCCTGACTTTCTACTTGTTTTGTTCAAGCCGGGATGGTATTGCTTTATCAATTATCAGCTCTCACAGCCAGAACAGACTTTGAAGAGATAGATACTATTAACAATTGCTCTTTTCACACACGCTCTAAGAGATTCCATCCTCATCTAAACAAAATAAAGCCCTCCCGTGTGTCTTCCCCTTCTAAAGAGTTACTACAACTCTTTGTCTCACACCACCGTACACACACACACACCTGTACACACACCTGTTCACTCTAACCCTATTTATCTGCCACAGCATGGGGCTGAACGTCACACTTAATACTCCCAGATCATGCATTTTGTGGCATGAAGCAATCTTAAAGTTTCTGGAAGCACTTTGCTGACACAGAACAAGCTATTACTTTCCAGAAACCCAAGTAACTGTATAGAATGACACCCCCTAGCTATCATTTGATATATATTGAGGGGAAAAAAAAAAAAAAAAAAAAAAAAAAGAGAGATCAATAATCATAACTATGTTCTTTTAAGTGGAAAAGTTAAGAATCTGACATGACCAGAGGAGAATTTTATTTCCTCTCTCCCTCCACGGCCTCTTTTTGCCTTTAGTTTCAAAACTCTCACTGCACCAGGCAGCTAAATTATTCACAATGAGCCATTTCTGTATTGATCGCCAAGTATATTTAGCCCTGGCTCCTGGAATTTCTCCATTACTTACTGGAAAACAGGCAGCCTCACTTCTTGTCTCCCAAACCACTTCCCTCCCCCTCCCTGAACCCGCTTTTCTCCCCTCCCCTCCCCAACCCTGCCTTTCCCCCAATAAATAAATACTTTTCTCTGTGCTCTTCTTTGGTATAAAGCAGATCAAATTCCCAAGGCATTCAGCACATAACACTTAAATTTCAACCTGCCCAGCTGCTACAAAACTCTCTTCAATTACTGATTTTTACATGACTCTTAAAAAGAAATCTCGAAAAAAAAAAAAAAAAGTTTTCAAAACAGGTA